AAAAAAAAGAAAAAAAAAGAAAGCTAAGAAATCATACACTGTTAGTCGTCTGACGGCTTTCATCTAGCATTGTCAGCCTTCGCTTGGCAACCTTGGACCTGTAACACCAAACCTCAAATGCCTCCGTCAGGTCTGGATAATGAATGTGCTTATTTTCTAACCATTCTGTTAAAATTTCTGCCTGGTTCCCTGATGGCAATGTGAGAACTATTGAAACAAATGCCGACTCCAATGATTGCCAAAGCTCACCATCAATTTTTAACAGCAGATTCTTGTCATCATCGGAGGTGACAGAATCAATTGAAAACTTCACGACCCTTATGAATGGAAGCCAGATTTTAATCATGTTAAGGCGTTTTTTTGTTGGCAAAATAACAGTCCCATATCCTATAGCTTCCAAGACTTTAACTGTCACTTCAAGAACTTTTAACTTCGCTTCAGACAATTCACCTGCTGGGCATGTGTGCTCGACAACTTTAACTATATTTTCCGAAGTCTCCACCCAGCTGTAAACAAAATCTCTCAAGGATTCCAACTTTGCTAATATTTGAGAAGCCCATAACAGATCACTTAAGTTGGACTTGAATAATTCCAGTTTTTCTGAGTCGGCAACTGATTCTTGGAGATCACCAACCAAAGAATGCACAAGATTTACAAATCTGCTTGATAGTCTATTGACACATTGTCTGACCTCTAATTTGATCTCATCATCTGCGGTTAATAATGGAGCATCATCGTCTTCAGTCAGCATGTATTCAAGCTGCTCCTGAGCCGAGGTTTTAAGATCATTCAATGAAGATGAGGGTGATGATGTTGAGAAACGAATAGCTGACAGAAAAATCTTAACTATAGCCAGAGGATTGACTGGCCGGAGCCGAGCAAGTACTGGCTCTGCTTGTGCTCCCATTCCAGGTATAATTTTTAAAATTTCTTCTTCCTCGGCTTCTTCCCAGGGGACTGCTTCCAAATAGTCCACACAATTAGCAACAATTTGTGGGCATTCAAGCTCAACAGCTACTCTCAGTATGCCAAGAGCATTTTTTACACCATGCCACATGTCAGTCAC